AGGAGAGGGAGAGAGGGAGAAAGGATGGGAGGACGACAGAGGGAGAGAGGGAGGAAGAGAAAGAGGGATGGGGGAACGGAAGATGGTATGACAAGAGAAGAGAAAGGAAAGACAATAAAGAAGAAACAATTCTTTGTTTCCTCTTTCTTGTCATTTAAGAATACAAGAGGAAACAGAAGAGGAAGCAAAAAAATGAGAACAGGAAGAACCAAGGAGCAAGGAGAAGAAAAGAACAAAATGCCCAAATCGCAAAGAGTGAAAACAAGAAGGAAAAAAAGGGAAAGCAGGAAGAACAGCAAATCAAAAAAAAGACCAGAGACACCAAAGGGGACCGCAAGAGACACCGAAGAAGCCCGACGAAGGAAGACCGAAGGAGTCCCGAAGAAGGCCGACGAAGGAAACATTGAGAGACCGAAGGAGACCGAAGAAGATCGCAGGAGAGACCGAAAAAGGCCGACGAAAGGAGACCGAAGGAGAGACCGAAAAACGACGAGACCGAAAACCGAAGGAGAGACCGAAAAACGACGAGACCGAAAACCGAAGGAGAAACCGAAAAAGCCCGACGACGGAAACCGAAAAAGCCCGACGAAGGAGACCGAAGAAGACCGAAAGAGAGACCGAAGGAAAGGGCCCAGAAGACAAACGACCGAGCGGCGTGCGCGAGACACCACGTGACTCCGGAGGAACAGCTGGCGACGGGAGACAAAGTAATCTGCACACTTGGAACATAAAACACACGCACCTGCCACTGACATCCACTCTCTAATTACGCGGAAGGAGGGGGGGGAGTGTGGAAAAGGGGGGGGGTGAGTGTGGAAAAGGGAGGTGAGAGGGGGGGGGGGAGTGGAAAAAGGGGGTGAGAGGGGGTGGTGGAAAGGGGGTGAGAGGGGGGGGACGGAAAAGGGGTTGAGAGGGGGTGGGAGAGGAGGGTGAGAAGGGGATGGAAAAGAGGGAGAGAGAGGGAAATGGAAAAGGGGGGGTGAGAGGGGGATAGAAAAAGGGAGTGAGAGGGGAATGGAAAAGAGGTTAAAAAGGGGGGGAGGCGCTTGAGAAGAGGAGGGGATAAGATGGAGGGTAGGAGGAAGGGGAGGAAGGGGTAGGGTATGGGGGTGGGAGGTGCGTGCAGGAGAGGAGGGAGTGGGAGTGGAAGTGTAAGAAGGAAGGAGAGGAGGGGGATGGAACAGGGAGTGAGAAAACAGGAAAGATGAGGGAAGAGGAGAGAGTGGGGCAAAGGAGGAAAAGAGCGAAAGGAAAGAGGAAATAAGAAAGAAAGAAAAACCAAAAGAGACGAGAGGACAAAAGCGAAGATAAAGAAGCCCGACCGGAAGAGAAAAAACGGAAATAACGCAAAAAATAAAGAAAACAAAAACAAAAAAAAAAAAAAAGGAGCACCAGAGTTAGAGACAATACCCAACACCTGAACAAACACAAACAACCACCCTACAAACAAACCACCATAACACTGCACGCCATCACCATACCTAACGCCTTCTTTTACCCAACCATATATATGAATGAAGAAGAAGAAAAGAAAAGAAGATGATGATGATGAAGACAATGAATGACTATGAATATGAAGATGAAGATGAAAGAAGAAGAAAAAGAAAAGAAGATGAAGACGAAAAAAGAAAAAGAAAGAAAGAAAAAAAAAGAAAAAGGAAAAAAGGAAAAGAAGAAAAAAAAAAAAGAAAAAAAGAAAGAAAGACAAACAAGAAAAAAAGAAAAAGAAGAAAGAGAGAGAAAAAGAAAAAAAGAAAAAGAAAAAAAGAAAAAAAAGAAAATAAGAAAGAAAAAAAAGAAAAAAAGAAAGAAAGAAAAAAAAGAAAAAACAAGAGCTCTTATCCACTTAGAAGCAAGACAATTTCCTCCATCACAATTTCGCGAATCACTCCCCGCTTACGCCGAAACCGCCAGATTCAACAGAAATATATGCACACGATGATTAAATAAACCGAGCTGGAATAATGAAACAGAAACAAAACAGGACACTGAATGTGCGGCTTTGATGGGCGATGAAAAAATAAACTTTGCGAAATATTCCAAATCGCCGACTGAGAGGATAAATTAATGAACGAGAAGTGGTGGCTGATGGCTCAGAGA